GAACCAGTAGAGCCAAAGTCTCTGTAGAGGCAGAAAAGCCCACTTTTTCTCTACGCAATTTGAGGAAGGGAACATCTTGGGACTTCTAATAATATTTCTCCAAAGCTTGTGATAGCTCCCAAGAGAAAGGGGGCTGTAAGAAATTAGTCAAATTGCAGAATAACCTGAAGAATTCCAGTGAGCAGATAAAACACTGACTGCTGGTCTAAGATCAGCATGCCACATGGCAGTCATGCCAAATTACCAACTCCCTCAACACCTCCAACAGCAAACAGAGCAAAACCATGTTTTACAGTCACTTGCCTTATAATGTAACCAACAAGATGATCTGTGTGTGGAAGCACAAAGAGGGATTTTCCAGAAAGGTCACAAGCGTTGCATAAAGCTGCCGCCCTCTCTGATGCAATAACATCTTCTCCTAGTGAAGTCAAGGAAAGCACAGGTAAGCAGTGTGTGGTCCTGCAATGTCAAACTAGTTCTAGAAGTCTGACCACTTCAAGGCCTGGAAAAATCTAATACACATAACACTGAGACCACATTCTTTCTTAGTTCTTAAATACTATGTGCTTCATGCAGCAGAGCACACTGCAGAAACTTTCTACAAGTGGCTAAGCTAGCAACACTTAAAAAATTGTCATACTTCTACATCTCTTGCACATAATTAATACCCTATGTCTTGAAAACTACAACAGCATCCAGAAAAAAACAAGCTTATATAGTGGGTAGAGGAAAAAAAATACAACAAAACCAAAACATAATGGCTTGCCAGACACTAGGAAGTATGCACCTACAACCGAAGCAGCTGCTTTACAAAAACATCAGGTTTTTAAAACATACCACATTTCACAGCTCCACGTTTCTCCAAAATTTTATGCATTAAAACTGGGTTAAAGTAAAAGGCTTCCATAGGTACCAAGTACCCTTCCTCTAAGTTCTCATTGCTTTTATATTTTCTCTTGATCTCAAGATAGGTTTAAAATACAACTTACTTAGGAGGAAGCATACCATGTGATATTGTGTAGCAAAAGATAGACTTTAGAGGAAGTTAAAC